TTTTTCCAGGTGTATATATGGGTGGGTGTGTTTCTTTCATCCAACGTTGTACCCAACGTCGCAAGCTGCCTCTCGATTTTACATTATACAATGAAATTTGTAGAAGAAACATTAGTTAAAGTGTAACCATGTACTAAAACGGCTGTAATGGAAAAGTTTAAAAATGAATGAATTGTTTTCAAGGCCACTATGTAATGATAAATGTTCTGTAAATTCTCAAACAAGTATATTTTCTTCAATCAGAGAACAATAGAGTTTCTCACAAGTTTAGAAACAAATCTAGTTTTCAAGGCCACTAAGTAATGGTGAACGTTCTGTAGATTCTCAAACAAGCATATTTTTTTCAATCAGATAATAATATTTCTAACAATATACAATACCATTAAAGGTGGTAGTTGTTGTTAGCAAAAACTAAGAATTCAGTGGCCACTTTCAACTGATAAATTATTCAGAATTCTTCCACATTTGAGCTTAATTATTTACTCTAGTAATTTGTTCTCAGCACTCCAGACATCATTTGGTTAATCTGTATCAATGGATAAAGTTCAAGAGTTAAATAATTTTTGCAACATAACTGAGATTACTGATAAGAACCTCTAAGAGGAAGTAAAGAAGAGAGTATGTAAATCATACTACATAACTTACACCTGAACAGTTACACCAAGTATAACACAAACTTTATTTACATCTATATTTGAAAGTACAGAGTAAGTGGAATAATCTGAGGAAAAACTTTAGATATGTATCTTACAGAGAAGCTTTCCAAGGTAAAACACAGATTTAAGTAAATGTATATGCTTTTAAATTATATTTTTAATAACATTATGTAGCAGCCCAAATGCTCTGAAATATAAACTGTTAGCCTAAAAAAACTGGTATTTAACATTTGTGTCCCTACAGGGCCATTTGTATCCTGAATTATTTAAATGATACTGTGAAATGGCCCAAGTTTTAGTGTGAGTTAATTTAGGTAAGGTCTACTATGATTCATGTCATGAGGTGAGAAATCATTAAGGTTTCAAATGCTCCACTAAACAAGTATACCATGATATGTGAAAAAACAAAACAAAAATTAAATTAAATTTATTCTTGATGATTAAAAATCACAACAACAACAAATGAACCAAAGGGAAAACATTTCATGAAACAAAATGATGATGACTAAGCCTTTTCCAGTTTGATTTATATAATTAATTTCTTTAATCAACAAACTATACAGATTCATTCTAGTGTGGACCTAATTTTTCTTCAATACAATCAAGAGACTTGTGGGTATCACAGAAATCATCCACGGTCAGCTGATTTAATAGATCACCTGGAGATTCGGTGAGTGTTAAATCTCCTGAGTCACCCAAGTCACCAAACTGTAACAGAATGTGTAAATTATGTTTAAACAAGTACGTCTCAGTAAAGAGTATGCTAATATTCTAATGCAGTACAAGTTTGAATTATGAGCCTACTGAGAAACAACACAAGTTGAATCATAAATTTGTTGAAGCATTCAGTAAGAGAAATGACCCGAAGTCCATTTCCCAATAAATATGCACACACACACACACACACACAGTTGGTGCTTATTAGCTGTAACTAATAGCAACAGTGTAAAAGACAATGTGAAATTATTGTACGCTTCTATGACTACATATTATTAAGTATTATATACATAAAATATTTAAAAACTACAATTTTTATGTGTTTCCTTTGCCAGATAAGTTTGTTGTCAAGCTATTTATATATATGCACACAGGCTTACCTAATGAAATTACCAAAAATATCCTTAAGATTTCATTAGAAAATTTCCCAAACTTCAATTGATCAACAGTTAACCACTTCTTACCACTTTAGTATTTCATCATCGATATAGATTTTTTGGAATATTTTAAATAAAAGTTAAGACACAGAGGGTTAATGAAACTTTATAAGAACAATATGTGTAAGCCAGTAAAGTGACATGCCATTGCAGACTTGAGCTGTGGTGCATAAGCAACTTATTCAGCATCATTATTTTTGAAATTCCCCACTACTCAAGTGCAATGCCAACATGAGTGGCTCATAATACAAATTTATTATTATGTATTTATTTTTAATATGAACGTTGTTTGGATTGAATTTGTATTTAGAAATATGCGTGACTTGCAGTATCAGATATGTGTTGCGTATAATGAATTTGTGATATATTTATTTTAAGGTCAACGTTTGTTTTGAATAAGTTTATATTTGAGGGCGTGTCTAGCTTACCGTGTTAGTTACGTATAGCGAGATTCCCACCAATTCTCCAAGATTGTAGACAATTCGTGAACACAAGAATCAACAATATCCATTTCCGTATCCAGTTAAATATAGCGCCTATATAAAGGTTACGTGCCAAAAACAACAGACAAGTCTACTATGAAACTGTTATAAACGTGTAAGCTATAACCTGTGATTTTGCTAACCCCTATCAACCGGAAAATATACAACATTTGACCAGGAACAGTTAAAAATTTCAAACACCAGTGAATTCCCATCAAATGTTAATATCTCTCCAAGAATATTATTGATTTCTCATCGGACATTAGTGATTTTATGAAAATATTATCTTACTTCAACAGTTTAACAATTCAGTGCCTGACAAAGCTAGCTAGCTTCCCGCCAATTATATGTACGTACAACTCGCTGGATATCAAGAAGACTCTGAACTAGGAAGACTATTTTAGGCTATTTGTAAATTTGTGACATTTCTGTTTATGAAACTTGGTTTGTAATAATTAATCATAATAGTTGCTATTGTAAATTATTCTACTGTATATATATATATATATATATATATATTAAATAGTATTT